AATTAAATGTCAATCAATCTCGTCAATATGCTGTCATTTCAAAATATAAGGATGAAAAAAGTAGTCGTAATTCGTCATTATCCATAGTTCTTTTAAAATAATACTAAAATTCAAATTGTGTCCGTCTGTACAGACACTGGATAGTGCAATTACAATTGCAATTGCTATTGCGACAATGATGACTCTGACATCAGCTTGATTATCTGGACATCCGTCCTATCATAGATTCTCTTAGTTACTATGTGTGAAACATGTTTTTTGGAGGAAACAAAATATTGTTCATTTTCTTTTAATTCAGCTTCTATTGCTACTTAATCATAAATTCTGCTAGTTAGTCAAAGTAATTAAAATCCTTATTATATTTTTAGATATATATTGAAAATTTTGCAAAAAAAAAAAAAAAAAAAAAAAAAAAATAATTAAGGGATTTTTTTTTAATTTTTTTGAAAAAAAAAAAAAAAAAAAAAAAAAAAAAAAATTATCTTAAAATGTTTCTAAGATTCTGTAAATATGCTTGAATACGCGACAAAACGTCATCTCAAGAATACAAAGAAATTCCAGTGGAACCGAAAATATAAATAAAGTGATGGAAGGATAGACAGATAAAATGAAGTTTACCGAGGGAGAGAATCGAGACTCCTCCCTATACTTTGCAAGCATGTAACACGTGTGCGCGCGCGCATTATGCATGTGGGTATAACGCATGACGATATATACGGGAAATCATCCGTTTAGGCTAATAATAAACCACTTCGTATAGTGCGGGATGCCACGCCTACATAGGCTGCTGACTCGACACCTCCTATATGCACGTGTGCATATACTTATACCAATGAGTGTAGGTAAATAGGTATATAGCCGAACTATTCGTAGTTAACGTGTATGAATTTACCGGATCCGTGTGCATTATAATTACGTGTGAAATGTAACGATGACACTACTTTTTTCGTTTAGTCAAGGTTGACGGCGATGACGATATTACGACGACGACGACGACGACGACGACGACGACGACGACGACGACGACGATCATATTGAATTACGCGTAGCATTGGAAGACGGTGCTGATCGTCCATTTAATTGTCATAAGTTTGATTATTCTGTTTTTACTTACATAAGCTTGTAATGGCACTAATTATATATTTAAACTGAGGGTATTTTATGGTTTTTTTTTCCATAAAACTAACATTGAATTTGCAGCTTAAACATGCAATTTGGATTTTATTTTACCGAATGATTAAGTAAAATAAATTCATGGTAATATCATACGTCAAATATTACGTATAATAAATACGAATCGCAAGGAATTTAAATTCCTTGTGTAAATAATGTAGATCTGTTACACGGTATATTTAAACATAATATATATGTATAAATATAATAATATACGATTGCAGACATTAACAATTATTCAAAATGGTCCGGGATAGTATGGTCGTATAACATTGGAAAGCACAAATCTTATTTAACAATATAGAAGAATTATCGAACGTTTAGTTAATGGTAAAATCCTTCGATAGGTTGAGAGTCTGCCAGAAAGCAGATGTGTTAGCTTTGCGAAACAAGAGGGAGGTTCAAGTGCAACTGTACAATCAATCTTTGATTAATACCGGCGGAAAAGCTGACATCACATCCGCTATTGAAAAAAGGGCAACGATACTTCTCACGAATAAACAAATGTAAGGATACACAATAATAGAGAATATGTGTATCTATTAAATCAAGGTTGTCTCGCCAAGTCGTGTCATTCGATCGTTAATTCAATCGATCTTTAAATCTTTATTTATGGAAAAATATATTTTCTACTATCAACTAATATGTTGCAGTTTAACTTATAAAGTGGAAGACTCGATGCGGCTGTGAATTTAATTATTATAGAAGAAAATGAAATCCTCGTTATTTTTTATTTTAAACGTTATCTTGGAATTCATTGAGAACATTAGAATATATTCTGAAAATTATTTATTTTTTGCACATATGGAGATTCGTTATTTTTTCGTTTAATTTATTCATATTATCCTTCAACGCAATTGAAATTATTTTTCATATTGAATTACGTTGTATCCTCCAATACACATATTGACTATGAAAATATGTGTAAATTTTCATATAAATTTATTTTCATTTCTTTTATTTTCATATAAATAATAACAATGTATTACATACTATAATTAAAAATGAATGAAATACCTTCATATTAATAATGTATCCTTCCAATCAGTCTAAATATTACATATTACAGTGATTTACTCACTACCATTGCGTAAAAAATAATTCAATAAAAAAAAAAAGAAAAAAAAAATAAAAAAAAAAAGCGAATTTGCATAAAATTATCGATAATTAACGATATTAAAAATATTGTTATTTTCGTGATCTATAATAATAATTATTATTATTGTTAATTTTCCGCAATTTAAAAATGATATGGATTAATACGTAAATTGGGGATGGATAGCAGAGATATAAAGGTAGTGGAGGATAATAGAGACGACAGAGGGGGAAACGTCATTGATGTGCGAGTAAGACCAATAAAAGAAGTATAGTGTAGAGATAAATCGGGAGTTACGCGAATTATAGCGATTTGAAACTGAATGGTGAATCGTGAACGAACGATCGTCTTCTTCGGTCTCTTATTTTGCAGACGACTCGAAATTACTTTGAATTACATGAATCGCGCCGCAGAGTTCGGCTCCCGAGCTCTAATTTCAGGGACTTGATGATCTCCTTCTAACCAATGAATAAACAGAAGCACAATGTAATTCCTGTGAGGTCGATGAGAGCTTAATTATTCTTTGATTAATCAATTCGTCTGTACGCTTTACCGATAAATATGTTCAAATATTAAAGAAAATAACTACTTATTATTATATTTTTTTTTTATGAAAAATTCGTCGGCAATGATTATCATGCATTTTCATTTATGTATTTTAAATTCAAATATGTTATTATTATTATTATTTTTATTATTATTATTATTATTATTATTATTATTATTATTATTGCATGGGCATTAAACTCAAACTTTATATTTTTATTCACATTGGCTATACAAATAATAAATTTCTATATTTTGTGCTTTGCATGTGGTCATACGGTGTTGGTATTGCCAATTGATAAGACATTTTTTTTTTATTTTTTTTTTTATTTTTTTTTTATTTTTATAGATTACAATGTATTAATAATATTAAACGCGCAAACGTGTATTAAGCAAACTTCAAGAAATATAAAATACTTAGATTATTTACATTTGCATATGATTTTTCTTTTTTTTTTCTTTTCTTTTTTAGTTAACCATTAAGAAATCTTATGAAGAAATCTTGTGCATTTTAAGCTTTAATAAGTATAGTTATTTTGACATATATAAATGATGTACGTGTAGCGTAAGATTGTAAAAATACATTCTTACATTCCCTAAATATAGGAATGTCGACTTTTTTTCTTTTCGTTTCTTTTTAATTTGAAATTTAAAGTTTTTTTGACATATTTTCAAAAACACCAATAATACACATATATATATATGCTTATTTTCATCGAAATTTAAAAATACATTAAAAATTTATGCATTTTTTTACGACAAGAACATTGCAATCAATATTTAATAAGTAGTTACTGCTCGCGGACCATGGCGGAATGAAAATTTACATAAAAATTGAAGAGCAAAGCAATAAACATCTTGGAAAATTGATCCGAACTTTTATTTAATCAAGCCGATTTTCTTATCGCATTTATTTATAAATATGTTCTCTCTTATATGGATATGAAACGATCTGCGTAGATTAATAGGGTGAAGCGTTAATTAATTAATTAGCAAGTCAAATTCGCGTCGAACCGACGCTTAAAAATACGGCCCCTGCCACTATCGCAACCGCGCACCTACTTCATTTTATAATAATTATTATTATTGTTATTGTTGTTTATTTCTCTGGCTCTCTCATGCTCGCGGCATTTATCTACCTTTAAGCTGATTAGCAGGTGAGCGCGCATTCGACGGCGCAGTGTGCCACTGCGAAATGAGCTTCTGCCTCCGTCTATATGACCAACGCTGGGTCAAACGGGTCGCCGTCGATGATGTAACAAGATCTCCGTGTACACTTTGTGTGACAACGAGCGGTAAAATCGCGCGCGCGCGCGCGTCATTTACATCGACGTCAATAGAGTCGTCGCGTATGTTTTCGAGACGGAAGTTTCTAATATCATCTCGATTCGCAATGATGACAAGTATTTGGGGGCACTAAAATAACGATACGTCCCATTTTGCAAAAGCGCGGACAGTCGGTTGCACGATGTTGCGGGCTCGAACTAACGTATTTTGGATTTTTCTCGGCCTCGCGCCGATTAAAAGAGTCAGTTAACGCGCGCGCCTCGTCCATCTAACTCGACGTGTGTTATGCGAGAAGGAACAAGTACAAGTGGGTCAGATCGCGCATTCGAACAATTTGAAATAAGTCGTATAATCGAAATCGAACGATGTCAATATGCGCGTGCCTCTTTGCGAAGCGTAGCGCGGGTGTGCTCTTGATCGTGAGTGGGAGCGAGAGTGAACTGTAACGTAGAAGAGGGGGAGGGAGGGGGGGAGGAGGAGGAGGAGAAAATTAATCTCCTGATCGACAACAGAGATTTTAGAACTATTAAAACGCGAGTGCGCGTCAATTGCAAAAGCGCGAGTGTGTATCTTTACGTAACTCGACGATGTGACGCGCGCGTGCCCGTACAAGACCATGTCGCCCAGAGCATCGACACAAGTCCCCGGGCAATTAGGGATATCCCCCAGATCTTACGAATCCGCGTCCCGAATCCGAATCCCGGCCGTCTCGCTCCCCAATGCCGCCGGATGCACGATTAACGTTACGTTGAATTAATTGACAAAAGATCCGAGCCTGCATTGATCTTTAATCGCTTTCGCGTGGCTTTAATTTACACATCGTACACATTCTTCCTCAAATCCTTATCCCTTATCCCTATTAGCCGATTTTCATAAACGATACTCGTTGATCATATTGTGTTCTCGTTCGTAACGTGGCGACGTCGGCTAATTTATCGATACTTCATAATGACTACTATGTTGCATTTGATTCTAGTCGCAAACGTGATTAATAAAGCTCTGATGAATTCTATATCGAGTAAAATAGACGTGGTAAGTGGAATGAAAGTTTCAAAACGTTATCTGTGACTGTGTGATAAATCAAGCATATGTTCTAATACCTACGTAATCGTCCGAGCGTGGGTGCGCACACAGGCGCACGTCCGATGCTCTTAATTTGCGCTCGAACATTTGAAAAGGAATTCCAATATACGGTAGAATTATATACTTTTGCTCGTCTAAATCGCCAAAGTGAAGTCATAAGATTTCATTGACCTTGGCATATAATTACCTCGTTTTATTTAGACGTTCCGCCTCTTAGCGACTATGCTAATGGCTCGAAAATTTAAATGTTCGTAATTACATTATTTATAATATACTTGATATTATCTGTATAATTGAAAGTCAAATAACTCGAGTATAATTTATTCTTAATTTTTATGATTACATAGGGAATTACGGTTATTTTAGATATAAAAATAGATGTATTTTTATATTATTGGCAAGTGAAAAAATTTACCGATTATAAATATATCTTTTATCTTATGGCAATGTATATTTATTTTAATTACGATTACATTCGTTTTTCATGATAATACTTGATTAATATATTTTTACATTAGAGTATTTATAATGCAATTGAAATGTTAGTGTAGCGAGTGAGGAAGTACACCGTCTTTCTATATAAACTAGTATAAATCCATAATATTAGTTTTTAAATCAAATTCGCGCTTTGTTAGATGATAATTATCATGTGCAATACAAAACAAAAAATTAGCATTCACGCTAATTTCTCGAGTAATCGTACAAAATGCCAAATGCTAACTTTACCTTACGGTTTACCAAAAGAAAAAAAAAGTCGAAACTGATAATATAGTCATATAAGAGAACATGTTATCTAAACGATGCCGAGTCGAAGAATGTAACTATTATGAAAATACATAATAATAATGGCAATATTTGCCTTCGATATACATAATTGTTTACAAATTATGTAAGCAATTCTTGTAAATCAATTATTACAAATTAAAAATATCTTTTGCAATTGACTATCAATGCTAAAGGCGCAAAGTATTCATTGATTATATTTTTGTAAAATATTATATAAGTACGTTGCTTTTTATCCGTAGTTTCGTGCATGATGATGAACTAGGATGTGACATAATCCGTTTACGGTCATTTTATTTTTAAAATGCAGAACGTCCGTCCACCAACGCCATCAAGCAACTGCACATTCATTATTAATATAAAATTCCAATCCCCTTATTATCTTTAACTTTATGAGATAAGCCACTTATCATATTGATATAGTAAGAATTTGATTAATGTATGTTTCGTCGTTTGCGTTCTTTCAGACTCTTTTAGAGGTCGGCGAGAACGACAAAATGGCCGATATAAGTCAACAACAGCAGGAGGAACCACCGCAAACGAATGGCGTCCTTGATGGACTCACGGAAGAGGAGAAAAGCAAAATGAGGCCTGCGGATATTGACGCTGTAAGTACATCATCGTTTATTTAATGATCACCTGTTTTACATGAGAGTTACCATCAACAATGCTTAATAATCAATGCCTTTAAAATAATACGATGCTAATTGTTAAGTTAAGCATTCGAATCGGAAATAAGCCAAGGTATTCAATTCATTTAATAAAAAAAATAAAACTTTTCGAGTAAAAAAATTTCTCCCACGATTTTCCTCCTTATCCCTTTATATTAAACTACTACTTTTACAAATTGCCGTTCTGGCTCGCGAATGTAATTAAAGTATAATTATCCCACATTTTGCACTTAACTAGTCATCGGTTATGAAAAAGTTTTAATCTTCTTTTGCCGCCCATTTTTTGCTTATCTATTTACAAAAGTTTAGAGTTACACACCTTCGATTTACTTTTCGCCTCACTATGCCAATTTATATTTTATCTCTGTCGCCTTGAAAATGAATGCAACATATCAAATACAAAAATACTGTGTTGATAGTTTGAGTTGAAAAAAAATAATAATAACAATAATAATAATAATGTATTTTTCTCATCGTGCGGTGCATTGTCCGATTAAGATTGTATGAATGATTCAAAGTGCCGCAATAATCGAAAAATACATTTTACAACACTTGCATAACATTGTATGTGTCCGGATAATGCAACTGTGTAAACTCATGTGTATTCATGATAAAACTTTAAAAATCGTTTTTAATAAATGAATAATAAATGAATGTTTATCAATTTATTAATTAATTTTCATAATAACTTCATTATATTCTGAAATTATTTATAAACATTTTCAGGTACAAAGAATAATACATTTGTCGTATTTTCAAGCATATTTATATCTTCAATTAGTAAGCCTTTTAAAATATAAACATTTTCTTAAATAATACTCTTGCATTCTTGTTACTTTATACCCTTTGGCTAATGCAATATAAATTCTACAAACAATTTTGTTAATTATACTAACCAAAAATATAAAGGTATACTCATCAACTATGATTGGAAATTAAATATTCTTAAATTTTACGTATTATTGATGCAATAAAGTTTTTATATTATTATATTAAATAAAAATTGTAAATTAAATAAATAATCAAAACATTTACTCATCCGCTTCTTTTAAAAATGGTTTAACTCGGTTTTTTTTTTCCCGATATATTTAAAGAGAGTATAAGCACGCACACACATACACACACACATACACACGCACACACACACACACACGCACACACACAAACATACACATACACACGCGCGCGCGCGCGCGCGCACATGATAAATCTGACCTTAGATTATACTCAACTCTGGATACTAGCCAAAAGCAAAGTAGCTTTTTTTTTAAATTTTTGTTTTAAGAATATATACCTCGATTGTGTATATAAAATTATATTTAATGTATTAAAAACTTATTGATAATATTTTTCCAACTGCAATGTTAATCATATTTTTTTTTTTACTCATACGTATATATTACGTATATATTACCTTAATTGCAAATTACTAAGAAATTTTCTTATATTTACAGGACATGAGAGAAATGGAAAGAAGAAAGAGAGTAGAAATGATGATGAATTCACGTTTATTTAGAGAAGAACTCGAGCGTATAATAGAAACCCAAATGAAAGATGGCTCCGGCCCTTCCGGTTTATTACAACAGATTTCAGAAATGATGGGCCCTCAAGGAGCTCGATTTAATACCAATGTGTTCAAAAGTATGATTTTTCATGTCACGTATTTCGCTTTATGCATAATTTGTTGTATGTATACGTAGAAAAATTATATCTCGTACGTGTAGTGTATCTTGAATTTATTTTTCTCAATTTTAACGGTAAATTGATCATTACAAGTAATGCTTTATATAAAATTTGGCATCATTAGTCGTGAAAATTCGTATAAATTTAAGATTTTCGAGCTTTCTGGTGATTTAATATAATCCCTATTGTTTAGAATTTTATTTTATTAATAGTTAGTGATAATTGCAATAATTCGAACAAATAAAAGATTGTATAATATTTTTTTTTTTGTTTGAATGATGGAAAATCTGAAATATTATAATCAGAGATAAGAAGGAAAGAATTTTTTTGTCATATATATATATATATATATATATATATATATATATGTAGAATTCCTTTTTTTAATACTAAGTATTTTATATCTTTTTAATGCAAGAATATTGTAACGCCATTCGAATGCTAAATTCCTCAATTTATTCATTCGTCATCTTATTTATGTTTTATTTGTCGTTTTATTACAGCATTTCAAATATTTTAATTAATACATTATTAAATTTTACTCCTAACGGGTTTTCTTTCTTTTTTCTTTTTTTTCATGTATTAAATGTATTCATAAATTTCTCAATACTGTTTGCTAAATTTACATTACAGTATTAAATTCCGTTTTAAAATGATGCACACAGCGTATAAGTTAATTTATTTGTCATAAAAGTACAGCGAACACATATACATTATACAATGAAAAAGCTAGCTAAAATAGCATTATAGCTTATAGGCCAAACAAAAAAATGTTAATACCCGAACTAATCGATAATTTGTCCGCAGATTCAAATTGCGTCGTCCCGATAAATGACATACGTGGCCTCGACCGTATGGGCTACTCGAAAGACGAGAAGCTGTTACGTTGCAAACTCGCTGCCGTATTTCGACTTTTGGACTTGTACGGCTGGACACAAGGCGTTGGAGGCATGATAACTGCGCGTCTTAACCAAGATCAGGAGCACTTTTTAGTTAATCCGTATGGCCTGCTTTATCACGAGGTAACGGCCTCCAGCCTCGTCAAAGTTGACATGCAGGGCGGTGTCGTCGAGCAGGGCACGACGAATTTTGGTGTACACATCGCCAACTATCAATTGCACACGACGATCCACGCCGCGAGACCCGATGTAAAGTGCATCGTGCACATTGCAACGCCTTCGGTTACAGCCGTAAGTCTAGCTATCGTCGTTTCGTACAAGCCATCGCAAAAAGCGCAGCCGAGATGTTAAATAGAATATATCCTTGTACTTCTTACGCTGCGTATTGTAGCCAAAAAGTATTTAAATGTCGGAAAAACATTGCCCAATACTTGTAGTGAAAATATCTTTACCATAAATTATTCCAGCCTTGATGAACAAATATTCTGGATTTGTAATAATGATTGAATATGGGAATTTGTAGATATCGTCGATGAAATGCGGCCTTCTGCCTCTCGGTCAAGAAAGCGTAGTAATCGGTGAAGTGAGCAGTCATCATTACATCGGTAGCAACAACTCAGACCCGGAGGAACGCGAGAAACTCGCAAGAAATTTCGGACCCATCAATAAAGTCATGCTGTTGATGAATCAAGGTGCGCTCTGCTGCGGCGAGACCGTCGAAGAAGCGTTCTTCAACGTTTATAACACCGTGCTGGCCTGTGAAACGCAGTTGAAGCTCATGCCCGTGGGCATTGACAATCTCAGCTTGTTGTCCGATGAAGCGCAGAAAGCCATTTACGAGGCATCGCGGAAGCCCCCGGTCCCATTGCCCAGTAGTGTCACCGAGCGCTCGCCGATCGCCGAGAAGCTCCAGAAAAAACGTTGGCGTATTGGTGGTACGGAATTCGAGGCCCTAATGCGCATGCTCGACAATGCTGTAAGTAATTGCAATTGTTAAGCTCATTTAAACGCATTTGTTCGTTTATTCGATAAAATTGTATAGGTCCTGAGGTGATGAAGCTGCAGCAGCCATTATTTTCCTTGTAAATATTATACAGTTTACATAACGCTATATATCGATGTCAATTGTATTAAGATAATGTGAAATAGAAAGAATATCGTTCGTTTAAATTTATTTATCAAAAAATTTTAATTTGACAAAATATAGAATCTTATATTACAACCATTTACCTTGCAATTCGAATAAGCATCGCAATGTATGTTGTAACTGAATTTAACGAATGCCTAGAAAAATATATATTCGAAATATAATAAATGAATTATTACATTTACATTATAAACTATTACATTATATTAATATTCATCAAATTATGATAGACAAATTATTTTTAACAGGGTTTCCGTACAGGATACATTTATAGACATCCATTGGTTAAGAGTGAACCTCCTAGGCCACGAAATGACGTAGAAGTACCTCCTGCTGTTTGTTCTCTTAATTATCTATTAGAGGATACAGAATTCTTTAGACAAGGGTAAGCTTAATTGTCAATGTTTTTAGAAGTGTTTCTTTTGTTTGTCGATATTACCTTAATTTTATTCTTTTATTTGTGTTTAAACCTTTTAATATTAATTTTTTTTTTTTTTTAAGCTTATGGAAGGGTGAACGTAAGGGAACAGATAGAACACGTTGGCTAAACTCACCAAATGTTTATCAGAAAGTGGAAATTTTGGAGACTGGTACACCAGACCCAAAGAAGATTACTAAGGTAGAAGTGATAACTTACGAGGATAAGATAGAATAATATCTTTTATTCTAATCAATAAATTTTAATATTTTAACTCGCATAGACATTATGAAGCAAAGTAACTCAATCATTATGACGCTTAAAAAATCGGTTACATATATTTATCGTCATCGCTTTTAAAATAGAATTTATGAATGAATTTATAAAGATCAATTTATATAAACACACACACACACCCGCGCGCGCGCGCGCTTGTTATGATGAAATGAATGAGATGATATTAATTATCAATGAATCATTGTTCGTTGCTTCGATGCTCTTTGAGGGCTGCTTCGAATTTTATAAAAACTCTTTGAGTATTCCAAGCAATGCATTCCATTTTTAATTAGTTTAACATAAAGCCTTATCTATTAAGTAGTTTTGATGTTTCATAAATGTTGTACAATTGAGAGTGCCGTAAACGAACAAATCGTTAAAATTCGTAATATAATCTAGTTCCTCAGCTCAACGCTGTTAATGACACATACACACACACACACACACACACACACATATATATATATATATATATATATATAGATATATATTGATTTTAAATGTAAATCGTGAAAATTATTTGTTGTAGCTTTTCAATGTTTTAATAAAAATAAATATTGCTCAATTGTCATCCACAAGGGTATTTGAATATTTCCCAAGCGATAAAAACTAGATATATACCTTTTATAAGAACTTTATAAAGCATGAAATAGTTTTTCTCTTTCTCTCTCTCTCTCTCTCTCTCTCTCTCTCTCTCTCTCTCTCTCGTTCTGAATCTTTATTCTTAAACGTATAAATCTTCAAATGAGTGTGTGCCTGTTGGTCATCATCAAAGCTTTCGGTGGCCTCGGCATAAACATCCACTGCATCCACAAAACCAGATTCGTCAACGAGAATGATAATAGAAAATGTCTTAAGAAAATGAAAGCTCTTTGAGAATGCTATAGGAGGTAAAAAAATAAAATTAAACACGATGAAACGACCCCGCAAGCTTTACTTCAGACTACCAGGCACACAGCTCGCGTTAATAGAGTGGCCAAATTAATCAAGAGTGTATTGTGATGACATTCGAACAATTTCTTTTATTATGAGGCAAAATTTATTTTACAACATCGATTATTTTGCGGGATCGGGATGATTGTAATTTTCTGGTTTTGTGCGCAGTGGGTGTCCGATGGCTCACCGACGCACAGCAGCACACCAGTCAAGATTGATGGCGCCCTGCAATTTGTACCGAAAAATACTAATCCGAAAGAATTCAAGCAACTACAACAACAAGTTTGTATATCATTTATATCTGTATTGGCTCGCTTAAAAAGATTCATTTTTATGTAATATAAATTTTTATAGATAAAAGATTATCGAAGAGCTGACAAAATTTCTGCTGGTCCTCAGTCACATATTCTTGAGGGCGTTACGTGGGAGGAAGCAAAAAAGATGCAGGTTAGTATATATTTGGTATATATGTTTATTTTGAAAGAAAAGTAAAATAAATTTACTAAATTTCTCTATTATGAAATACCTAAGAATTTATTAGTAAAAAAAATCTATAATTAATTCCAGGATGCAACTATAAGTGGTACTGGTGAGCAAGTAGTACTGGTTGGTGCAGCTAGCAAAGGTATTATTCAACGAGGATTTCAACACAACGCTATGGTATACAAGACTCCTTATGCAAAGAATCCCTTTGATGCAGTCACAGATCAAGAACTCGACCAATATAAAAAAGAAATTGAACGTAAAACTAAAGGGGATCCTTGTATGTATTATGTCATTAAATAAGAAATATCATTCGATAATATAATTTGAAATTTCTGTTAGATTATTGATACTTTTAAAATTTATATTTACGAAATTCAATTTTTTTTATATAAAAATATATATTAAAAGGAAATGTTTCTAATTCATAGATGACGAGTCGCAATCTGAATCTGAAGCGCTTTCATCCTTTAATATTAGTCGCGTTACCCACGAATCAAGTACAGCCAAAAGTCCAATTCAATCGCCAGTGTCCGTGACTTCAGAGACAGAAGAAGAGAGCAGAGATGGTAAAAGCACATTATTATTTTTCATGGAAATATTCCTATGACAAAATATTTATTTAAAAACATTTACTTAATACTTAAAAAATATGTAATCGTTTTATTTCCTTGAATAGAGCCAAAAGTATTACGAATAGAAACCAAACAAGTGCCTGCACCGAGTCAACCAGAAGTTGTGCTTAGCGATGGTGAGTGTTTTCAATTTCATCAGGAGATCTATATTTATCCAATTTTTATGGTGTTGGTAAAAATTATATTTTTAAATTATATATGTTATATGTACATAGCGGTTTTATAAATACTCGATTAATCTAATATTTAAAAAGCATATTGCATGAAACTTGAATGCATGAGCATGAAAATTTTGTTATTCAGAATTGTCTGTTAAACCTTTGGTGTCGGAAAAGCGAGTTGCACGGCAGGAGGATATAAAATCTAAAAACTTTAAAGTTCATCATCCAATCAGTTTTAAGACAGGTGAGAATCATGAAATTAAACAGAAAGATGCATTATATCAATTTTTCATATCATTGTATTAAAAAATTGTATTATTTTCTATAATTGTAAGAAAATTTGAATTGCCTATTCCACACGCCTTCAAAATATTTATCAAATAGCTCATTTAATAATGGACTATATTAAAATTATTGCATTAAAAGTTTAATAATTTAATTCTAATTCCTTGCACATTGTTTTCGATACACACACGATATATTAAATTTTGCTAATTGCCAGTTTTACTATTACAATTAAGTATACAAAAAGTTTTCTTGATGACAAAATTTGTTTGTCGTATCCATTTTTTCGTACAATAATTTGTCATAATAACTGATCGATGATTTTAAATTAAATTTATTTTTATTTATTATCGTAAATAGTATTTGTTACAATAACAATCTAAATACAATTAATTTGATACAGTGATTGTTGACTTTCTCAATGAGCAACGCCGCTCGGAGATGATGTTACACAGAAGTTCTAATAAACGAGGTAAGTTCTGTAGGAAATTAATCCGCAGAACTTCAAAGTTCTTACATGCTGCTTTTGTTGTGCTAAAATTGCTCCTCCTAATGTACAAATCTCATTAATCATAAAAATAACTTTAATTTTCTCTCTTTATTTATTTTAATTTTAATTTTTTAATGGCACGAGCACCTCCTGCTATTGAGCACGTTTAATTCTTATCTTCATGCCTACATTAGCTTTTCATCATTTTTAAACCATTTAATTCCATTTACTGTTTCGAATTAAATCATGCTTTTCATTTTAATATAATTGGACCACCGCAAGTTTTTTTTTTTATTCTACTAGCAAAACCTATAATTTCAATGATAACTTTTAATATTCTCAATGAATATAAAGTTTCATATTAATAAAACAATATCTTTTAAAAAATGTATACTTTTTATTCAAGCAAGTTTTATTATGATAAAATATTTTATGTTACCTATTCCTATTAACACTCTTATTACAAATTTTTAATTTATTTTATTTTCACATTCACATTTCGATTTTTAATATACATAGAAGCATTAAAGTAAAAAACGATTAATCCAGAGAAACTGATTTTATCATTGTTGTAGTTATTATTATTATTATTGTTATTATTATTATTATTATTATGTAAGATATATTTAAATTATAAAAGTTTGATATTAACGTCAAAATAATTGCTGTACGTAATTTTCATAGATAGTGCATGTTAATGGTCTGTATTAAGAAAATTTGTAAAATGATTGTTGCGCCTTGTTAAGTAATCTAATAATTTATTGGATATCATAACGATATTTTAAGTAGTTTTAAAGTATTTAAATAAAAATATGTGCATCATAAGTTTTGTAGACACAGTAAAGTTGTGAATTTTTAATTTACGATATCCAAAAAATTAAATTAACGAGAGAAGCTCGCAATACCGTATGCAGACTTGTGTAGTCCCAAAGAGAAATTCATAAAGGAAATTCATAAACTAAATAATGTCGTTCCTCTAAAAATTTCTCTTTCATACTAAAAGACTATATTTTTTAATAGATATTGTTATGGATGGCTTGCTTTTATAAATTTTAAGCTAGTTTACAACTTGAAATTAGGATCAGAATAATTAATTGGATTACATTTCTTGTATATCGGCGGGCTCTCCTTTCACAGTAAAAAGAGAAAAGGAAGGTTTAAAAATTAGAAAGAAGAAATGCCCATTGACAGGGGGTGCGGAAAGCCGTTGTTCTACGTTTTGTCCAATTTGACTGCTTATTCTCCTCATATCTATTTTATACATTAGTCGTGTGTGTGTGTTTTGGCGGATGTATGGTTACAGGAGTTTCCGGGGTATCGAGGCTCAGTAGCAGCAGAAGCAACTCCTGCAGTGAAGATCTAGAATCGTGGCCAGACAGTTACGAAGCATGTCATCTTGAAACAGCACGAGCTCAAGAAGTTGCTCAACCGATGAAGGTTCTAATTAAAGATATTGAGAGAGTTTCAGCGATTTCGCGTAAGAGAAAACGAGAGTTTTTCGAAAATTCTAAAAGTCAGTTAGAGGATAATAAATATACAATAGTTCAAAATACAACTGAATTATATGATATAAATATAACGTCGAATATTGACACTTGTTGTTCTAAAAAATTAAGTATCGAAAATAATTTGACCGTTGAAGTCAGTGATATTAAATTGAGCAAAAATGTCGGTATAGATTTTGCTAAAACAGTTCATTTATTAGGCGATTGCGCAACTATAAACAATAATGACAATTACAAATGTGAAGAAGAAACATTATGTTCAACAAATAAGACAGAAATTTTTAAGAATATTGATAATATCCTTCGCGATACATATGATTCCTTGAATAATACTACAGATGTATTGTCGGATAATAAAATTGAGAACGAAAAAGACGTTGCGGAAGAAAAAGAGTTAAATTTGAGAAACGAGGAGCTGGATGTTGCAGAATGTATCGACGATATAAATGACACAAGAAATGCAAATCTTTATATAAACGAAGTAGAATTTTCTCTTTGTGACTGTTGTGAGGAATTACATAATAATAATAGCACTAATAATAATAATAATAATAATAATAATAATATTAATAATAATATTAATAATAATAATAATAGTAATAGTAATAATAATAATAATGCTAATAATTTGGATGGACATACTGTCAATGTCATTAATGAAAATATCATCGAAAGTCTTGAAAATCATGTTCAAAACGACACTGAGATATCCGTTAAAATTAATAGGGATTATAATTCGAATAATTGTGACAATGAAGATGCGATTAATTATATAAATGAAGTAGAGTTTTTTGTCGACGATAATTCAGCTTATTGCGATAACGAAATAATGAAGAAAAATTCTGCCCACGACAGTTCAAAAATATCAAGTGACAGCTTAATGGACAATAATACCATTAAAGAAAGCCAAAAAATTATAACGAAATACGATGAAAATTCTGAGAAAACGCACGACGATAGTCAAATGCAAAATAATTCTCACTTTAATACTGCACCAGTGGATGCTGATACCATAGAAATGAATCCATTGGATGTTAATTTCAATTTATTTGCCAAAGCTGATAGTAAAATTTGTGCATTAAACGAATCCTTCGATGATATTGACACGACCATCAAAGCTAACGAGCAATCAAATAATTCAGTGGAAATTGATAATAAAATGATATATTCCGATCAGAATGGCAATGGTTGGTCATCGTTAAATAAAGATGATACGAGCCCTTTGAACGATCACACGGAGCATCTACCAAAAATTGTACCAAATAGCTTAGACTTCACTTATTCAGAAATCGACAAGCAAAGCGAAGATCTTAACTCAGCGTCGACAACAAGAGAAAGTTTTTTTAGTGACGATGATTTGGTAATGAAGCGAATAACACGTCGAGACAGTATTGCAGAAGTTGCCAGCAGCATAAATGCCGACATAAAGCCTTCGAATAAAGTTGTCGTAGACATGCTAGCGGACACCGAGAACTCAGTCAAATATAATTTAGATTCGCAAAATATGAGTCTTATATATAGTATCACCCCGACAAATGATATCAGCGATTCCAGTAAAAATACCACTATAGAGGACATTCTCGAAGACAACCATGATGAGTACGAGTATCAGGAGATTAATAACGACAATAGCGAATTGACTCGAACGAATCCGTTATGTAACGCGGACAAAAAGGATGCCCCGAACATGAACAAAACGATCGAGCTGTCGGAAACGTCGTTTACGTCGAATATATCCAATCAAGGATCGGATATATTGGAACTGCCGAGCCACACTTATTTAGATTTGCAGAAATCTAACGATGAAATCTTTCAGAAAAATATGAGCACCTCGGTCAATCAAATCATCAATGAGTTAAACGACGCCGAACTATTTGTCAATGCTGCGAATTTTGTTGACGAAATAATGTACGACGTTGCCTGCTTGAATTTACCACACGATATTACCAAATTTTCGAAATTAGAATTAAGGAATTACGTACAAGCAAAAATTTGGGCCTTGAATTTAACCAAGAAAATAGCTAAGGACATAGTTGGAAATTTACAATGTTATGATGCCGATAAATCTACAAATTCAAAGGTTAGTAATAATGAGGAATCAGATCAAGTAGAATCACTAGATCAGAGCGTTTATGTTATACGAGAGGTCATTCATCATTTAGTTGATAAAGATTTTTTAGGTAAGTGCGATTTTAAGAACAATAAAATCATTACGAATAAAGAAGCAAAAGAGTCGATTAATATTGAATTGAAAGGTCTTAATGATGATTACAATATTGGGAGTGAAAATATAAATATAAAATGTTCGACGCCATTTTCATTGTCGCCGGATAGATCTAAGAATAATAGCTTTTCCGAGGATCAAATCGTACTAGATGGAGATGACAAGAACGAAAGCCCTCTAACTCATGAAAATAATGCAACTTTTAGCTTAGAACGACAGCAGATCTCAAATCTGCCTGTTTCCTCCAATTCCTCTCCTTCCACGGAATCGCACAATTTTGCTGAACAAGAAGTCACGTCCGAATCGACGGATAATGACACGAAATCTGATAATAGCAAAGAGAAGCAAACGAATATTGTAAAAGAACTTTCAATTTTAAGACATCAAACGGACTATAATATCTCCGATAATTCTCATATAAGCACTGATTCTTTAAGAATTAGAGCGCAAGATGAAAACAATGTATCACCAAAGCAATTAGATATAGGTTCAAATAAAATATGTTATTGTGTAATCGAGTGTACAAGCGAAGATAATAAATATCTTACAAGTACGCCTGGCGATCGAACAAATTCTGAAATTTCTTCAGATTGTTCGGTATCAACTACACGCGATCGCAGTACCGAGCCGAAGCTATTACATACAGATTCAAATAATACGAGGTATTGCGTAATTGAATATACGAGCGAACCCGACGACTATCTTCAAGATAATTCTAAAGATCGGGCGAATATTAATATTCCTTATTCTGATTCTTTAATAATTCATACGAATGAAGAAAACGACGAATCGACGCTAACGAGCGTGGCTGCGAATAAAATTAATTATCGTGTAGTGGAGTGTGCGAGTGAAAAAAATCTGCTCTCGTACAATATATCCAGGGAGTTTAAAAGTGAGATCGTACGTGATATTGAAACCGATTCAAACGAAACTATAGCCGATTTTATGGAAAAATATATGGACTGCGAGGAAGAAATCAATCAGCTATGGAGTCTTAATGAAGAAAAATTGGAAAAATTATATGCCGCTGAGCGACTTGACGAGATAATCAATATTGAAGACGATACAGCGATCGATATAGAACATATTCCAGCAGATCCAATGAACGACAGTGGATTTATTCCCTCTGATGTAAAAAATGAGCTCACCTCTGATATATATTACGATAATTACTACGATGATAAAACAAAAATTGCGAAAGAATTAGGGACAAATGAAGAGTGCTACGAAAATTTCGATTCCTTTAATGCGTCCGATAATGAAAGTAAATTAAATTCATGCGTTAATAAGGAAGAGCCCGAATTAAATAACTCTGATGATGATTTAGCATCATTTCAAATGACATTGGAATCTAGAAATTCTTACTCTAAACTGCCGCCGATATCCGAGTTGCCAGAATTAAATGCATCGACCGATGATTTTATCGAGTCTACCAACGACACAACAAAGTCCACGGAATTCTACTCTTGTCAGAATTCTCTGTCTTTCAAATCTTCGTGCGATCATGAGACGATCGATTCAACTTACACTGTATCTGCAGCCCCGAGCAGTGATTGTGAAAAAGCTTACAACGCTGACGTTTCGACGAATGAGGCATCCTCGGACTCTTCGGATGTTAGTTCCGTATTAGGGAGCACAATATGGCAAATAATGAAAGCTAACAACAACAACAACAACAACAACAACAACAACAACAACAACAACAACAACAACAATAATAATAATTGTAGAGGTGATTTAACCGAAAATTTTGCCGACGTCTCAAACGCTAGTTCGGCCAACAATAATAATTGCGAGGTCGCAACCCTCGAATTCATGACTTATTCCTACGATACGAAGGAATTCATTCAAATGGAAATGGCTTGCAAGAACAGTAGCGAATATTTCGACGTTGCGTAATTTTTCCACCCACGAATGATCATTACATTGCACATTCGACAATATCATTGAGTAAAATTATAAAAATTATCATACACTGCGTCGTATGAATCTTCGCATAACTTCATAATATATGGTTGTTAATTCTCATAAAAATGTTGACTTATCTGCATTGCAGCAGGATTGCGGCGGGTGTTTTTTTCATTCTTTCTTTCTTTCTTTCTTTCTTTCTTTCTTTTTTTTTTTTCTTTTAAATTTTTGGAGGTTTTAGGAGCATACGTGTGTTACATGTTAGAATCAAAAGGTTTGATTGTTACGCTTATGTAACTAAGGATGAATGCTTTTATTTCTTAGAAATAAGTTTCGTTAAAATTGCTTCTGAAGCTCTACTGGGTTAAGGAAATACGAGTATTAATATACCAATATCGCTTATGTTAGTTGAATAACTTTGAATTACCAAAGAGTTTTTGAAAATACCCACAAATAATTTTCAATTTCAATATTATTTATTTAATTGATTATTGATTATTTCCGATATGTAAGTTTTTACATAAATTTCTAACATAATTTCAAGTTTCTTATAATAAAAGTTCTGATCGTTGAAATAAAGTTGATATTTTTTTATTACAATGAATTAATTTTCTATTTATTTAGATTATTATAATTATAATTATTTTATTAAGGAAGCTCTAAAGTTGCGTTGCTTCAAGCGAAAGACTAATAAACAATTTCAAAGCGTACGAAAATTCCCTAAACGGTAATGCGATATTTTTTTTATAAAATATTTTAACTTGAAGTATACGAATACTAAGCAAAAACTTTATTTCCACTCATTATATATATATTTATTCATATATAATTTGCTGAAGTTTGAACTGTTTTTATAATAAAAGTTGTCTCTTAATTTTATTAAATACATTATTGCATTTAAGTTTTAATTATGCGAAATATTTAAAATTACTTTTAATATTAATTATACACGTATGTCGACATATTACCGTATTTCATTGCTACTATTGTTATTATTTTATCGTTTCTTATTCCATGAATAAGACCATTCAAATGATTTTGCAAACGTCTACGTATAATTTGTGATATTTGGGTGTTACTCATAATAATAATAATAAAAAAAAAAAAAAAAAAAAAAAAAAAGTTTTCTTCTTTAGAGCTTCCTTAATGAAAGTACAGTATTTTAATCGTCTCATATAGCAAGCTTTTTATGCTACGTTTTTTTTTTTTTTTTTATTAGAAAAAAGTTCTGCGTTAAAGAAATTATTTAGCTAATGGGCCGTTAGTTTGTCCCCGATGCATATGAAAATAATACGCAGAATTATTTTCTCGATAAAAAAAATTTTTTATCATGGTGTTTGATATTTAATAGAGCATGCTAAATCCCCAAGATAACCATTTCATCATAAACGAAGAAATTGATTCAAACGTAAACTAACAGGTAAGCTTGGTTTTCATTATTTGTCATTTATAACAATCTAAAGTAAGCTATTAAAGTCCTGCGTTAATACATCAAATTAATTAACACATACAGTAAGTCCATACAATAGGCCAAAAGTCTCGTACTTTAATGATAATATTTTGTTGCAGGAGAAAACACCGTTAATGGCGACCATTCGGATGCACACCATAGCACCTTCTCACATAGTAGCAAAGAGGTATTGCATGTTATAAAAAATTTAATTTATTAATCATCGCGGATAAGATTAGAAGATAGAAGAGTTTTAACTATATTAAATAATTGGAGTACTTCGTTTTTTGTTTATTGAAATAGTAATAGAATACGTGTATTCGAAGGATGATGGTTTACATTTTTCGATCAATTGTATTATTCTATTGATTAATATAATTAATTGATATTGTCAACTACAGTGCTCTATCATTGGTGAATTATTTATAAATATTTACTAATTACCAACAACTGTTTTCAATACAATTGAATTTTTTTTTAAACGAATTATTATAATTGCTTGTTTTATTTATTTATTGCGAAGTTCCTAATTATCTATTGAAATTTTTACATAAAATAAATAAATATTTAATATAGTTGACTCGCAGTCATCAATACTTTTCAATTAAAACATTTATTCATTACAGTTAAATTAATGAAATCATTATACACAAATTTTATTATTCACATTATTCTCATAGTATAAGCTATTAATATCTTAAATAGAACTGCCGTTTCATTTATCGAAAGCCAAGCTTTCTTTCTTACTGATATGTATTGCTTGCATGAATCATTTATTAACAGTCGAGAACATCGAGGAAATCACACTTCGTACTCTAGATATCGTTTTATCAATGAAAGAATATTCCATTGGCAGCTTGTAATAATTATACAATTATTAATCATTCCAGTAATGCAAGAGTAATCGTCCGGTAATGACGAATCAAATACATTTATAATGGATAATTAATATAATCTTATTATCATCATTATTAAATACATATTATTATTATTATTATTATTATTATTATTATTATTATTATTATTATATTGTTTTATTTATATCGTTCGCGATTTTAAGAGAAACTCACATTTTTAGTTGATGTAGACAAGTGTCTTTAAAAAATGTAATAATTTTACATTTCGGTTTATAATTTTTGTAAATTTCTGCAATGTAAAATTATTGCTTTGATGCAAAAGTAAGGGAAAAAGTTGCGATGTCGAAGTACCGATTGTTGATTTATCTCGAACGAAGAAGATTTTAAACATTTGCATGTGCATGACAAGAGGTTTATGGTTACGGTTGGGACCTTCCATGTTAAGGGTTCCATGTCGCAGGATGTGAGCGTTAGCGAGGAGTCTCCCAAGAAGGAAAAGAAAAAAAAGAAAGGTCTACGAACACCGTCCTTCCTCAAAAAGAAAAAGGAGAAGAAGAAGATAATGGAGGCGTAGGTAGTTCAAGTTTAGGTACGTTCACAATTTAACTATCACATTTTTAATGCAATGTGACCATTTTAAACGATACATCAATTACCAAGGAACGAGTCAGCAAACAGTTAACCAATAAAAAATTTTTTGCTTGCGATATACCGAATATAAATTCACAATAGATTAGTTATAGGTGGCCTGTGCCTAGAATACGGTGGTCCGAACGAACATTCTTACAGTACCCCAAATATTTTGCTTGTTTAATAGTTTTTTCTTTGTTTTGTTTTGTTTTGGTATTTTAATTCTAGCTATTGTTAATGATAATTATTCGTCAATCAGAAAAATCGTCTTATTTAGAAACAAAAAAATATTTGGCTTAATCAAACATTACACTCATACATAATATATTGTTTAATTATATAAGCAAGTTATTGCTTAAATAAAATATTTATTGACATATTTCGACATATAATCGGACCACTTTAATTTAATGCAACAATGATAGATACGCGAATGAGCAAATTAGTTATTATCGATAATTGCATAGATAGTTTACTATACTTTTTTTTTCGCATAACAGACAAATATAAGTTTCATCATAGTTTGCTTATCAAAGTTATTATCGATAGAGAATCATGTAGATGTATTATATCATTATAACCCTTTGGAGTTTCATTCAATAGTAATTATAAATATTTCTTGATAATTTCATGAATAAGTCATAGCTCGTAAAGGAAGTACGTTGAACTGATAATTATAATTTTTATTATAATTATAATTTACGTTTTTATTTTCTACCTGAAATAAATAATTAGAAGGATTATTAATTGGCTTTAATCGAATAATATTTATTTAATTTACTATATTTTACGAAACATCAATTAACGATTAATAATCGTAATTTAACATATTTGTTATATTGTGAGTTTAATTAAAGTTAAACTTTAATTATGATTATCATTGATTATCAAGAGAATAACTTAAATTGGATATAACACGATTCATACAGTAGAAATTTCTCAATATATCAACAAAAATAGTAAATTGTATTTTGCAATTTCTAACAATATATTGAAATTTGAAATTTAATTATGAAAAAATACACTGCAAGGGGTTATTAACGAATTCACGAAACGAATTTATTAAAAAATAATTTTTATTTAATTGAATGATGATAGAAGCGATAACTATTAGAAAATCAAATTATTTGCAATATAAAACTATAAAATTTTTATTATTTTATTTTATAGGATACAGGACATTGGCATATAATACTAATTTCACATTATATATTTTTAGCCACTGCCACAAAGAGAATAATAAGCTTATTTCAATTGATGGAAGAACAATCAGTAACAAGGCGAAAAGTGAATTCAAGGAAAGTCTAGAGAAGAAATCACAGATTAGGAGAATTAAAAGAGACGACGGCATATTTCCTGGAGTTTAAGACTGCCATTTTACAGCTTCTGTCGAATAGTGATTTTGATGTCATTATTTTCTTATTAACGTTTTCATTAGCGAAACTATAAAGGATTTGCGGAGGGGGGGGTGGTGGTGCAAAGTCAATCAGTTGTACGAAACTTCGATTTATTCGAATTTATTACACATAATATCAAATACAATCATAACGGATAAATAATATAATGTGTTGATTAGAAAATAATGACAACATGGAAGAAAAAGTAATATATCATGTTTCGTCTTTTCCGGTTCTTCTAATTCTTCTCCGAAATGGCCTACGAAATAATCAAATATGCCGAGAAAGTGAAAGTAAGAAGAGGCTTTGGAAAGCCACGATATTCTTCACATTGATAGAAACATTGAATTTCATAACCGAATAAATAAAGAGATGAATTATGCAAACTATGAGAAACAAAATAATATTAATTAAAAAAGAGAAAAAAAGGGGGAAAAAATGTATACAGCGTTATCTGTGTCGAAAAAACAGCGATCGTAGTGACACTAGTAGTATAATTCGATCAATTTGGCTTTTTGAATGCTTGTACTTGCAAATTGATACCGTGAGAGTGCTTTTAACGTGTTTTATCTTTAACTTCTACGTCTATTATCTTTAATCACATTGCTCTTTCTCACTTGTAATATCCGTTGCCTGTAAAGACGCGCTAAAGGAATGAAGGTAGAGGGAGTTCAGCGGTTATGAAAGAAGAGCGATTTCGAAAAGGCAGCGATTTTAAGTAAATGAACAGATGATGAATAAAAGAGAAGCGAAATGGTTGGCTAAATGCTGCAGGGGGAGGGGGGTATCATATATATATATATATATATATATATGTATATATATAACGACTTGTCGCTGTTCGTTTATTGACGATATATTTTATTTTTTATTGTTCTGTCGTTTAGCTTTTATCGATATCATTGATATTAAATTAATAATGACTTAGGGACGAACGAAGTGCGAATGTACGATGTAAACGTCTTGAACTTTATTTGTACAGAGAAAAATTGGAAGTAAATGACTTATTAATAAGTGCGCGGGTGGAATTTTTGCTCTTCCTCCTAAAAAGATTTTATTCGCTGCGCGTGCCTTTTGTTTTACATTGCGATCGATTGACCGTTCGTTAAAACTTATGTTGTTAACGTGGTGTTTTATTGACTTTTTTTTTTTTTTTTTTTTTTTTTTTTTTTTTTTTTTTTTTTTTTTTTTTTTTTTAATATATATATATTTTTTAATCATTTTTTTTGAGATTATTTGTCGCGCTGAAACGAGGCTTTTCGTTTTAAAATTCGACTACTGCAATGCATTTGTATTATATGAAATAAATTTTATGGATCGTCGTTGAAAATTCTTTTTAATATAAAACATTTGAAAAAATTTTATTTCGATAGTTTTACCTTTTTTACTTAGTCCTCCCAAAGGGAATATGTTATAAGCTAATAAAAGGCACTTGAAATGCATGTCATTTTTCTCGTTGCATGTTGCACGCCAATCCATTAAAGAGAAAAAAAAATTTATATATATATATACACACACGCACACGCACACGTACACGTAGACGTACACGTACACGTACACGTACACACAATCATGAGAAATTCAAGAGGAAATAAAAGCATTAACGCGACATATGTATGCGGAGAAAAAAACATCCGACGAATATATTATGTGTATGCGGAATACAAAGCGAAAAGAATATTGAAAACCCTGTGGAGTACTATCATGCATAACGATAATGATTGTATTATTGAGCGATATGATAATTACAGTTTATCATTGTAATAGTTAATATATATTATAATATAAAATTAATATTATTAAAGTATAGGGATAAAGTACTTTATTCGACGATCCTGCTCATTACTTGTTTTTACAATTTTAACGAATTCGCATAGTGAATGAAATACATTACGCAAATTTAAAATCATGGAAAGAAAAATAAATTATAATATATTGTTAGTAAAGTACTTTATTTATGAAAAACTAAAATTGTTTGGCTTTTTGTCACTTCCCAATTCCTCGTTATTAAATATTAATCCTTTATTTCTAAATACTTTTATTCTCTCATACTTAATTTCCTCATACCTACACACACACACGCACGCGCGCGCGCGCACGCACGCACGCACGCACACAGAGACAGACAGAGTTAATTCATTTTTAAAATCAAATGTAGAATATATAAATCTTTACAGTTAAGGAAAAGACAGACACGAATATACTCTTTCTTACACTTAAACATCCTATTCGTTGCATATATTTTTTAACGAATATTAATTTTAATGTTAATCAATTTAAATGTAAGATACACATCTTTGTATATGCCTATTCGGCATGTATATAAAACGAATGATAGTACTACATTGCAAAAAGAAATATTCTTTGTAAAAAAAAAAAAAAAAAAAAAAAAAAAAAAAATGATGTACGCGAATATATTATAAAATGGAAATATTCAAGTGAATTACCGAACTAAATGCATAGAATTTTTTACTTTCATGATTGTAATAGTGAAGTAGCAGAAAAAAACCTTTGATGACTTCATCGTGGCAGATTCGGGTAAATATAATAAATGACTCGAATTACGACCGAATTAAACCGATAAGAAGAAGTGCAATAAGAAGTATACGTTTAGATGTTACCGAAGTATGTGATGGTAAATAATGGTTAAGAAATAAATACTAAATAAAGAAAAATTGTTACGTGTTAAAGGAATGATGATACGATCATCGAGTTTCATCAAAGTCCGAAGAAATTCAGTTTCCACAGAAGAATAGTAAATTCAACAATGACTTATCTGACAGATAGGACAAGTGAATGAGAAAATTAAACTAACAATTAAATTACGTATTCCGACACAAATACGTATTTTCTCGCTCGTTCTCCCTCCTCCTTACTCCCTCTAATCGAGAATAAATAAATATTTCACTTATATGCAGCAATGAATTTATTGATCCTATTATTTGTATTAGTACTCTACGCAATAGTAAGTATAACATAAATATAAAACTCATATAATAGCAGTAATTTATATTTTAAAAGAATAAATAATAAATACTTTATAGAATGTATCTATAATTATATTGATAATTTTACTGCTTTCAAAATGTAATCCACTTATAAATTGTCAAAAATTGTTTAACATTATTCTTTATTCTGAAGCTATTAACTTTATTTAATCCCAAGCCGGGATCAAAAAAAAATTATTAAGTACATTTTTAAATATTACCTTCATATCGAATTTCATTTCATATTTTATCTATTTTATTCTATTGTAATTGTACACTCGATCGAATTAATACTTGGAAAGTTCTTATTAAAGTTTCCCCATCGATATTTAGAAATAGATTTTTAAAGCCGTTTATTTCGACATAATAGAAATTATAAGCTTATCGAGCAATTTCTTGTCGATTTCTTGATAACGGCAAATGGTTTATTCATTATTATTCTCACTATCGTCGTTATTATGAATTTTAATTATATAAATTAAACAGTCAAGTTGATTACAGCAAAAAAGTTCTATTTTCATTATTGATTAACGAGGCAAATTTTTTTTAACTTATACTACTTACATAATAATAATATATAAAATAAAACAGCTTATATTCGTATAATGATTTAATCTGTAGAATTTTAGTTTAAAAATTATTAAATTATCTATGTAAAAGATCCATTAAATTTTGTCATATATATGTTATGAAATTTTATCCCAATTTTTAATGAGATAACTTTTATAAATAAGTAATATCCTCGCATGTTTATGTGCGCCAATAAAGAATGAGGTGCGAATTATACATGTTAGGTGCTAACAAGATTATGCGAGCATAAAGTGTATTTTGTAGAGTATTTTGCCTTGTAAATTATTAATCAACCAATAAAATTGTCATCACAAGGGTTTAATTTTGTTCTCCAAGTTTGCACGCACCATTATCACCTGTTAATTATATACAAAAAAAAAAAAAAATAAAAAAATAAAACACATTAAAATATTCTTGTAATATATTTTTAAAAAGACATGCATATTGATTGAAAAATTAATGATCATGTGATTATTGAAACGTCAATGTTATATTTGAAGGAATTCTATTATATTATGTAAAAAATAAGAATACAAAATTAATTGATCAATGAAACCTTTACGTAATAATTATTTATGCATAGAAAGAGAAAAAGACTCGTTTTTACTTCAATGATTTTGTTTTGTTCGACATTAGAATATATGCAGTTTATTAATGAATCTGTAATTATTTAATATTTTACATAATAATTAGTTAATATTGTGAAAATAATCATGGCTCATTTTAGTCCTCGAATCACAACATAATTATATATTCAATACCTAATTTAATTTGAAAATTTGTTTATGAAAAAGTGTATACTATTCATTCGCGTACTTAGAATTTAATTATTGAAAAAGCTTTGCGCTATAATTACTAAAATATGGGAATTTAAAGTTTTAAAAACTATTCTAGCCAAATAGAATATGTCAAAAATTCCATAGAAATAGTCTTTATATGCTTTAAAAATTACACGTATATGAAAATTAAATTAAATTTATTTCTATTAGTAGAATAACTATAATAAATTTGATTTAAAATTAAATTTATATTATTTATATCGATATAGAGTTTTTGTTATTTTAGGTAGAGAAATGAACGTATGACGTAGATAAACCACGTTTATTTAATCATTTATATTTATGGTGATTTTTCAGTCGACATCAATTTTTGCGTGTAACATAAACAAACGCGAAATCTTTATATAATACATTATTACAACAATATTAAATATCTCAACGCGCACATAAAGGACACTAAATCGAGATTAATGTAGTGACATAAATTTGATTTTCTCTATTTGCGCGCATTTGTCGGGCAAAAAAAAAGCGGACGAGTTAAGGGAGGATAAAACAAGATTAGACAAGGTCGGATTAGACATCTTCGGATATAAAGCTCAATAATT